AGTATAATACTTCTCAGAAATAGTCAGTACAGAATGCTATCATTACCGCTTTTGACAGTGAATTCCATGGTTCATAGACTTAATCACTAAAAATTCAAGACCTTGCTTTCTTCTATCACATGTCAGGGTGGTGTCCACTTTTATATAGTTCGGTACTGAAGTGTATCAGTGGTGTGTGGAAATTTCAAGGATTATAAGACCCATTATACATCTTGATAATGGCCTTACTTAGTTTCTGTACCTCACTAAATAAAGATTTAATGACACAAAGCCAAACTGTAGCGGTAAGTAAATCCCCAAAATAAATAACTCTGTAAGTTTTCGACATTGGATGCTGACCACATTAGTTCTAAGGGGCTCACCTAACTGAAAGCGCTCAGTCATGCACCCGCTCCAGATCACGAGTGGGAACGCCGTGCTCAACAACCCCTGCAATCGCTAACCAAATTAGATCAGACTATCCTCGATATATTGATAGTCTATCAAATATATCTTTGAACCTCCCCGCTTCTGTCTTTTGATTTCACCTGGTGGGTACGATTCAAGTGGAAAGTGTTACTGGTTAAAGCGTTGTCAAACTCCGGATACCTGTGGCATCTTCAAGACTATTAGCGTTTTTGCTTGAGCAAATTACTCTTGAGAGAACAATATCATTCTTCAGGTAAAAATATATGGCGGATGACCATTTTTGAATTTATGAATACTTTTAAATACTTTCAAACACTTTTAATTATCACACACTTCCACACTAGACGACAAATCCTGAACTGTTGAACAACTTATCGAATTAAGTCATGGTAAATGACACCGTAAAGTGACAATTCAGGCTAGGTAATGGCCGCAAGATGTGACCTCACGTAAACTAGGATGTCACGCCGTTGCTATCAAACTCCAGTATGTCCGAACCATCCACATGGGTTACCTACATTGATGATCAGCAACTTTTTTCAGTAATACAGCAATCAGGCTTCCTATGATTTTGAAAATGAAACCGATGACCGAGAACGCAGTGTTAACCACAGATTGCTAACGGAAATTATCACACTGTTATGCCTATGTCATTTCCAAGGGTGAGGAGTGTAATACTGAGATTCTCAACAGCTATCTAACGTTGATACTATTAACAGCCAAGATATTTCAGGCGTACTCAACTACCCTGACTTAGCAGCCATTATTCCATCGTGGTTGATAGTGATTGTTACACTGAAAGAAGAAGAATGATGACTTCAGAAATATGGTGAGTAATAAATACATTTACTGTACAGTTAAATATTGTGTGTTGTTTCTCAGCATATCATAGTAATACAGTGTAATCTGTAGCTTGGTAATTCTACGTTGGGTTCTTGGTTGAATCTTGTTGAAGTTCTAGACTTATTGTAATTAGTTCAGTTTCGTTATTTTATTTCAAATTCACTAGCATCATTACAAACTTTACTCATACCCATTACAAGTAAACATCCCTTGTTGTTTGGGCGCCGTATTTTAATGTTATGGAAATTTATTCTATCACATATGGCGTTTTCGGTCATGTAGTCTTTCAAATGAAAAGTATCCTAGTTTGCGTTGTCACTGTAAAATTGTCAAATATATGTTTCAACAACTTTATCCATCTTCGCCAGTCTCGAGCTACTGAAACCGATTCACCATCTAGAAATTTTGTTGTATTACGATTACGAATAGGAAAATGCCCTCTACACAGGTGAAGTCGAGCTAATAATCTTAAAAGGTGCACGAAAATGGGTTGTTGGACGGGAGTCTCATGACTCTCAGATCATCGAAGAACCTGCAGGATTATGGTTTATTTCGGTATTAGTACTACGTTAATAATAGACCTAATCCTAACATTGTAGATTTGTCATAATGTAATTGATTAATCTATAAGATCTAACGTGAAAGTCACATCACTGCCTACACCAACTCATCGCATCGTAACAAACAATATATGATGAAGAACACATTTAGGCTAGAGATAGAGCAATTTGTTTATTATGGATAAAGGATTATGTTACCACAATCAAGAGTGACCACGCCTGCAATGCCGAGCCACGCAGTCTGACCAATTCGAATTAACTGAATTGATTCCTCCCGCCTTCTCCGTAGTTGGGTTTTTCTCTGCGTTAAATGTTGAATATATATTTTCCAGTTTTCCCGTGTTCAGCATTGAGGATTGTGTGGTTAGGGATCAATGCCTCTACAAACTCTTCAAAATAAAGATAGCGGCGAACGTTATCCAGTGAAACACATACATTAACAACTGTAATGAAAATGATTCACATCAGTTTCTTGATAGACTGCAGTCCTTTAAATTCGATTTCCGTAAAAGTAAATGACAATGGTTCACCTCCACCCGGTTAGATTAAAATCCTGGGCAGAACACTGACAGTTTGACTTCCGTTCATCTTTTAGTATTTCCTCTTTTTGAGCAATCTGAATTGGAGATTGATACTATTGTTTCGGCTCAAAAGTAGGCCAACAAATCTACATCTAATTCTGTTCAGTATAATCTTAAAGGAAGGCTTCAAGGACCTATCAGAGTAATGTATCAGTTTACCAGCCAGGGTCTGAGGACTGGATGCAGTTTCATGTAACCGGTCTTGATCTATTCTAAAATAGAGGCCACAAATATACAATTACTTGCCGGAAAATTTCGTGACTTGTCCTTGAAAAAAACGGCTGTCTTCTTATAGACTTTTGATGTGGACTTGCTGAAAATGTGGAGAGGCGAGGAATATTGGCGCTAGATGCAGGGTGGCCTAATAGTGGGCTGAACAGCTTTGACAAAGAGAACGAAATTAAAAAACAAGCTTCCTGACATTCTTAGAATTCAAGTTAAGGACTTTCGAACCGAAAGCTACATTCACAATGCATCAGCATCATTCCACTCTTCCTAATATGTTTTACTATCACCTATAAAAATAAAAGCGATATTTTCAATGATATTCATAGTCTTTTACGAATTTCTATTCTTCCGTTTCACATTAGTCAATCGTGGAATTTAAACGGCACTTTTTATATCCTTCCCAGTATGTCATGAGGTGAGACGTTTGGTGTTGAAGTTTTATTTACATGAAAAAGGCTTGGGGCGCTGTACTTTTACTGTGACATAAAACTAAAGGTCTGTTTCCAACATGTTAGAAGCTATATTACACATTGTTAGAACAGATGCCAGGGGGCGGTATTATATATTCCAAATCTGATTTTTATCCCGAATGTTTTGTTTCTAAAACTTATGAACAGTGATGTGGCACAAAATAAAATTATGCAGGAGTAAATATCAGTTTAAGTGATTGACTTTAGGCCTACCAGTTATTATGTAAAGTTTCAAACAGAATGGTTATAATTCGGGTAGGCTTGGAATTTCAGACAATTATTTACAACTGCCGATTGTCTGGTCTGTAAATAGGAGCTGACTAGGGATGAAGGAGCCGCTGTATCTTTATTCAGGGCAAAATATCATATGATGTGCTGAAGAACAGACATTAATATGGGATAGGTTCAATCATGAGTTTAGACACTAAATATGTGAGTGATGATATGAATTTTTTAGTACATTGATAGAACTATCAAAGGTGTCACATACATTCAGCGCTTAACAATGCCGTCACTAACAGCACCCTTAAAATCTAGAGTCCCGAACCAGAAGTAGAGAATGAAAGGGTTTGAAGATATATTTTTTAAAAACAGTTAAGTTATCCGTTAGTCTGTGATTTCAAGTGACTAGATGTTGTGTAATGAAGAAAGAAATCAGATGGAGAATGTCAAGTTGTTTTTTGAAACAGAATTAGAGTGCCTTAGTAGAGTATGAAGACCATACATTAAATTAATCATTTGCGCATCTTCCATCAATTGTCTCTTACAAACTTCATCTTTCTGTCATTCCTGTTGATGTTTCGATTGCTTTCCGTTTTCTCCTCTCTCCTCTTCAGTTCGATGTCCTCAATTTTCTGATCAGCGTTACGTACTGCTTTTATCTGTCAACATAAGTAACATGCACTACGGTGGCACGGGACAGTTATCAATGCCTATCAATGGTGATCCAGCATAGATGCTTGACCAAGCGCTTTTGGCTGGGGTTTGTCTAGCAAAAAATGAGGTCAGCACCGATTTTGAAGACTTATTTGACGTGTCCGTAAGATGGCACCCTGAAAGATAAACTAGGATGAAGACAGTATACCTGAGCGTAGATAAATGTAGTGAGGCATGAGGCTTCTGTATTGATGGGGGAGTGGATGAGCCTGGAGTTGTGTTGTGCAGAGATATGACCACCATGTCTGAACGAGGGCCTCAATCCGACAGTGTCCTTGGAAACTAGCAGTGCCAGAATTAGAGTCGAATGACTTTTCGGCTCTCTTCGGAAGAATTACTAATTGTCACAGGTTTTTATGGTGAAAAGATGAGAGAATTTTGCGGAATACCGGCTATTACTCATATTTTCTTAGTCAAGTAAATCATATATCTGATGAATATCGGATTATTTATTTTCTGTACACGTCCAGGATAACTAGGATAAGACCCTTAGGTTTATTATCGACATTGGATTGGATCAAACCTCATGAACAGGACCAAAGTCCTCATTTTTTTACTCAGAGCTGGTGTTACTTAAACCCGTGGATTTTGTGTGGACAACAATCGTATGTTACAAAGAAATAGTGACAAAGTTTGAGGAACTAAGACGATTGTTATCCCGAGATCACGCATTTATTAAACTCGTCATCATGGTGTAAATGACATACAAAGTGCCTATGAACATAGAACAAACTCCTATTATTTATTAGTTATATCATAACATAAAGGACACCCAATCATTTCAATATCTGACGTTTGGACTATTAGTTCACAGTGTTACTTTTTCCACTGAATAATCAACTTTTGTGGCATACAGCCGAATAAATGGTTTTAGTGGGATCAAGACCGACTTTTATCAAAGAAAGTGAACGAGATGGAAATATCCCGAAGGAAAGCTGCATTAGGTTTTTGAACCCTCAGCTAACAGACTCAAAATTTGAATATAAAAAATAGTTGTGAATAATGGTACTAATTTCCTGACCTTATTATGAAGATAAGATAGTTACATTATTTTACTAAACACATGGTGGTTTGGTTGGTTGTCTGATCAACACGGTACTTTTCCGAGGGGTATTCAATTTTCTGGGATGATTCAGTTGGAGGTCTGCATACCGGTAGAGGTGGAAGGCAAATATGGAGAGTTCTACCCCGTACGTTCTCTATCTGTTGTTAATCTTGTTTCAGGGTGTCATCAATGGGTTGAAATCCTTAGAAGAACTTAATGTGACACTATTAGATTCTTCCCACTCGAAAGCCCTTGTGGAATTCACTCTCCCTCCTTCCTCGTTGCGTCTCCCTCCAAAGGATCCAGGAACAGTTCTAGAACCAGTCCAAGGACTAGAGGTTGATGTGTTAATCAGCTCATCTCCTGGCGAGCCACCTGTAGACCATGAGTTATCAAGTGATCCGATTGCTTCTAAACTTTCTGCCTGGTGGCCTGCTGTTGTAAGGAAAATTGGTGGGAGTTTTGTTATTGTGGAGTTAATGGCTGACTTCTCTTCTGAGAATGCTGGTTCAAACGAAGTAACTGTCCTTCCCAACAAACGCATTAGTGTCCCTCACCCTTCATCACTTGAAAAAACAGATATTGTTGAAAAGCACCAATTGAGACCACGGATTCATCATCCCAATCTTAGTGTCTCGTCCTTTCACATCCATGCTATAGATATACCGGACGAGTTAGCTCCATAGTAAGTTACGTTTCTGCTTCTTGCTTTGTCTCTGTATAGCTATGGTTAATACTCCCGGTTTTTCTCAGTTGCAGAGAGCCTGCCAATTACCATCATTTTGCGCGACGATGTGGTTTGCCTGTCCTGATCACTTTGGCGCCCGACACATTTAAACCCGTGTCCCCAGTTATTAAGGGGGACAGTGAGACGTACAACCTAAAGTCCCGTTTGCTCGTAATTTCTACAGATATCTCCACAATCAACAGGGCATCTGTCATCGACAACACGTTCGTTGACATGCTGCGACAAAAAGTCTCCATTTTGCAACAAACTGAAGAACTATCCAAAAAGTTGGTGGCGTCGCGCCTTAATCAGGTACGTTCATTACTTTCTTATGGTGTCTTAGCAATCACCATTCGTTGAAGAATTCCTCATACCTCTGGATTTAATCCATTATGCAATTGGCGCTCAAGGGTCAAATATTAGACGCGCTAGTGCTATTGAAGGTGTACTTTCTGTCAAGCTAGACCGCCAGACTGGTAATATCAGGATTTCTGGGAAGGTATGTACTTTCATTTTGTGTTTCGAATTTGATAGATTCGTTTAATGCGGTAAAATCAGCACTTACCAATAGCCTTAACTTAAAGGTTCAGTTGGGTACAAGTGTAGGGCTGCTTACATTAGTTAAATCTATTGGTAATAGCAGCCCAGTTTGTCGACTAGTTATACACTTTCAGTTGTATAAAAGCCTGGTCATATCACAAACCGGACACTTGATCTCATTTTGCATTTTATTTTTTCCACTCCCAGCTTTTGAAGCAAACAGTAAATGTTAATTCCTAGGCCTAGTAAGTTCATTCATGCTTTACATTTAACCTATCCTGATAAAAGGTAACAATTTCATGAGCTCTCAAGTATTTACGTACTCATCAGTGTGCCTTATATAATGGATTTCTGTAATCGTGCCCGAATTGCTAGTTAGCCACAAAACTTGTTTTGATTAGTTCCCGTTATTTGTAATAATGAGGTTTAACTAACGAAATCATTGAGTCTTAATCTAGGTCACAAATAGATTTCTGCCGGAAAAAGTTGTAAACAAATATTGGAATTTAGGGAAGATCTAGTCAGAAATTGCCAGAGCCGTGACACTTAGTGTCGTGCCAGTTGTGGAAAAAGTAACACAAACGTGAATCGGCTCAAATCGCTTCACTACGTCAACATAATGAAAGGAAACTAACAGTGTCAACCCAGTATAAGGTCGTATACCATACTGTGACTGCTTGGACCGAAGCGAATGGGTCATTGCTCAATAATAGGTCTAAAATTCTAATCCATAAGATTAACTTATTTATTTGAACACATAAATATTGATATAAAGGAGCACCGAATATAAATGCGCCACGTAATTCATCTGATTTGTGTGTGGACAGTAATACTGCCCGGGTGCCCAAACCGAAACAGGTGTTTTTCTTAGGGGATCACACACGGAGCCTCCGATTTAATGTTCTGACCCACAAGGCAGTGGAGCGACGTCAGGAGATGCAGTCCCATGATAGCCGGTGACCAACAATTGGTTCATACACCATTTGTTTCTTCAGGATCATGGAGCCCATGTGCAACATTGGTTTGGAGTTGAGGTTTTCTAACTCCCCTAGGTGGACCCTCCATATCCACCAACCCGTTTAAAGCACTGGACACCCGCTTTTCGTCCTCTCAAGCTCATAAACAACGCCCTCGCCACGAAAAGGCAGAGGGTAGGATTTCCCTGGCGGTGATTGTATACGCGTGGTCATGTGAGGGTAATTTGAGAGTGATAGCGGACTCCTCCCGCCCTCGGCTATAATAAGATCTAAGATTAACTAATTAAAAAAAATTAACTGTCACTCGATAAAAACGCAATGTAAGACCTTTTGTGTTCATGATATGCATCACTAAAAAGACAGCAAAACCATCTTTTATACTAGCTGTGCATATATATATATATATATATATATATATATAATATTAGTGATGCATATCATGAACACGGAAGGCCTTACATGCCTGTATTTTCATCGAACTACAGTAAAATTTAATCTTATGGATAAGAATTTTAGACGTGAATTGTTACTAGTGAGTGATGATCCATTTGCTTTCGTTCAAACAGTCATAACTTTCACTCAGTATAGTATACGATGTTATACTGGGTTACTAAAACGCACTGCTTATCGAGTTTGAGCTTGATTTTCCTAATAATTCAGTTAGGATTGTCGATTCCACTTGTTTCCGTCTTTTTCATTGAGTAGGTTGGGAAGTTTAGACAGAAGTCAAACTTAATTCCCTGTTTTATTCTGTTTTTAATTAAGAAAGTTATATACGAGCTTTAATATTTTAAATAGCGTTTATCATCAGTTTAGGGAAGCCATTTGAAAGACATAGGGTTAAAAAGTCCTGTCAGTCTGGAAATTCCGGATTATGGAATTATGGAATCCTAATTTGATAACTCAAATTAGATGAATAGAACACAAAGATGGACTAGTTAGTATTTTTTTTACTGGTTTTTACTTCAATCTGATGTTCACTTACACTGAAGAATAGAAATATAGCTCAAGAGAAAAGCCCTATTTTGATAACTGTAGTGGTTGAATATTTAGTTGGTAGAGATAATCATCCCTGTATTTGGCCATCTCTAACCACCTAGTGACATAAACCATATCTTTTGTCTCAGCAACAAACAATTGTCTAGTTAGAAGTTGATGTGACAGCTTAAAGGTTTGCCACTGGACCATCAAGCTAGGTATGTTTAATCAAAGTAATTAACATCAACTTAATGGTTTATGTTGCTAATGTCTAAACGGAGTTTAATTGAGGAGCTAAGTAACCGGATTCTTAAAGACAGCTATTTTGATGACTGCACAGAAGATTGTTGATGCATAGGGTAATGACCCAGTGCTAATGTACTGGAAATTACCATCAAACTACAGGCAAAACCCTTTCCACCTACTTTGATTTCGCTAAGTAGATAATATCATTAACACCAAAACGTTTGGCTCAAAGCCAAGTAAGTCTACATGTGCTCATCAGATTACATTATTAACATTACTGAGTATATTATTTAAGGACTAATATAGCCTCTCTCTCTCTCTCTATATATATATATATATATATAGTAATTATTAAATGTAACTATTTTTATCACAAGCTAGTTTTTAATTAGTGTACAGTTTGTTTTTGTGGACATATAAGTTGGATTTTAATGATTTATTCATAGTATATCAAGCGTTAGTTATCCTCCCATTTAGTATCTTCACGGTTTTGTTAAACAAACAAAATCCTAATAAAATACGGTACCTATTCATTCCAGACTCAAGATGCTGTTAAAAACGCGAAGAAGTTATTGGACTTCTCTCAAGACATCTTTCAGATACCTAAATCATATGTAGGTCCTATCTTGGGATCAGGTCGTCGACACGTTCAACATATCGTGGATCGAGTGGGACTTGTTGGAATCAAGATTTCTAAATCACCTGAAGACGATCGTGAGCACGTTTCATTCCAGTTAACGGGAACTCAGCAAGCCATACGTGATACACAGTTATTTTTGGAGTTTCAAGTCGCAAGCTTACAGGAGTTAGACCGGCTTCGTGGTGTTGAGAATCCGCCGTCTATATTAAAACCCAAGGATGCGACCATCCCACTTAAAGATATTTCGAGGTAATTGTGATTTTCACCAAATGTAAAATTTCAATAGGTTCTCGTTAGATTTTGAATAAAATACTGAGCTTTTCATCTAGTGTGTATGTCTACCTATTTCAATCTTTGTGGTCTTCGATTCAACATAGTCTATGGAAACCGTATAATCCTGACTGTTAATATTCAAGGGTTTTGGTTGTTGCACTACCTGTTTCGAACCAGCATTTTTCAGTTTTCTTTGATATTAAACATGGTATTCTACTGGTACCGTTGTCGGTATTTTTAGTAATTTTTTTTATTTGTTTACTATTATTGCTACTTACTGAACATTGACTTATTACAAGTATCCAATCACAAACTTTTTCTTGAGCTACTGAATAGGGTGACAGAAAAGGCTGCGTTTCTCTCTTAAAACTATAATGAACAGCGGGGTTGCCCTTAAATACCCTGGTATGGTCAAGAGTGAGGAGAGTTCGCTGTCGCTCTCTAAGTTCTCTCATATGGCCACGCTGATATAGCCATTGCCTAGGAAGTCCTACTTGCTGCCTTCTGATGATCGGTGTTTATGAAATTGAAAGGACGAAAAGCAAATGTCCGGCTCTTAAACCGGGTTGGTGGGCATAGAGGATCTATCTAGGGGAGTTGGAAAACTCTGATCCCAAACTAATTGTGTTCATGCGCTCCAGAATCCTGATGGAACAAATGACGTATGAACCTATTCTTGGCCACCGATAGTTATGGGACCTCATCTCTTGACGTCGCTACACTACCTCATGGATTATTGTCGGTCATCCATTTACAAACAACTTGATGATCTGATACAAACGTTCACTAGCCTAACTTGTCACACAATGATAGAATGATAGGACACTGCCATATTAAGACCGACTGTCACCGCCGGTGCTCACACGATAAGTTTTCGATCTTTTACAGTCGGTCTCTTGGAATTTTATCTTAGATTGTTGATGATCTGTTTAGTCACAGACAAAATATCGTTATTGGATATGACTTCCAAATTAGCATTCTTTCTAATCATAGATGAAAATAAAGACGGCAGATACTTTGGATTAGGTGTACTATATTAGGCAATCCTAAGATCAGAAATATTATGCTAGGATTTTACTAATCTTTATGGTGTGAAACACTTCAAGTCAAAAAACATTTGATGTCTAGTAATAAACTTTTTCAATGTAGACAAACAGTAGGGAACAAATTTGAATTTAGGATAAATATGCATGGTATCGGATTTTTATAGATCATGTAAACATAGAAGTCAGTAAGAAATAATAATCCTTACATAAATGCCAAATAAAAACTAGATGCTCATGAACTTCGAAGTGAAAGACACTCCATATCACCGTGTTCTTGATGGAAGCACCATATTACATAAAGTTGACTAATATTACTATATTTCAGGCCGTTATCAGAAAGAAGACCCACTCATCTAATCTACTGTCAAATGACTAATAAAATTGTTCAGTTTTCTTCGCCTAGAAAAAGTGAATGAAATTTTTTTGGAGAGTCCTACATAGCATGCAGTCGTGTTAATCCCTGTTTAGCGATGTTTTTATCCCATTTCGAATAAAGAAAACGTACTTTCTTTGTAATTGTAATTGTAGCAATGATGAGTCTTCAACTCCTCTCACACATTCTGAAAATGGTCATCGTATATCAAACGGTGACAATCAAAGTTCAAAATGCAGTGAATCTAACTATGCTGTACATTCAAATAGTTGCTCAAATAAGGAGGATCCGGAGAAACAAGAAACTACTTATAACAACATTACAAATTCACGTCCACATCCTGGTGGACGTCAGCCCAAGCCGAGACCTCAAGTCAATCACATAAGACCAGGTATGTTTAAAAGACTGTCATAAGAATAGTTTTATTGGATTATTGATCGATAATCTACTAAACTTTTCTTCACTTGGGTTGTTCGATGAACTCATATAAAGTGTTTTCTAGTGTTGTCACATTATGTTCATTTTAAAAAATATTACATCTGGTTTTAGTTACAGACTACGCTTACTGCAGCCACGCTTTCCACTAATAAACGGAATGAACAGTGACCTAACATATTTAACGTCATAAACTGATCACCTTTGTCTATACGATGTTATTTTAATTGTCTCTATGGATAAGTTCTTCAATGTAAAGAAATGTAGCAGTATACTATCATTAAATCGACTAGTGAGAATTCTTACCAGAATGTAAGCTTTTTCATCATTAAAGAAATATGGAATGACTCAGCCACATTATAACATTGCCAACGCATTAACTATGACAAGCTGTATCTCGAACAGTTAGTTATCTTAAAAGGATCGACACAGAAACGATCTTTACAGTTACTATCAGCAATCGCATACCCATAAGTAGTTTTGCTTTACAACCATGATCAGAAACAGATTAGAATCGAAATTCACGGAATTAAGAGGAAGAAAAGCGAATGTCCGGTGCTTTAAACGGGTTGGTGGATATGGAGGGTCCACCTAGGGAAGTTAGAAAACCTCAACTCCAAACCAATGTTGCACATGGGCTCCATGATCCTGAAGAAACAAATGGTGTGTGAACCAATTGTTGGTCACCGGCTACCATGGGACTGCATCTCCTGACGTCGCTCCACTGCCTTGTGGGTCAGAACATTAAATCGGAGGCTCCGTGTGTGATCCCCTAAGAAAAACACCTGTTTCGGTTTGGGCACCCGGGCAGTATCACAGTCCACACACAAATTAGATGAATTACGTGGCGCATTTATATTCGGTGCCCCTTTATATCAATATTTATGTGTTCAAATAAATAAGTATTGGTAATAATATTGTGATTAACATGTCCACGGAATCATTGTTAATTACTTAAGTCTATGCTTTTAGATACCAAGGAAGTTAAGGGTGACATCTCTGTGTTGTAACTTGTTAAAAATCAAACGAAAAGCTTATCTCGTGGAGGTTTTGTTATATCTTGGAAAGAGTAGTTCAGTGTTTTAGTTAGTTTTGTTAGAAGTATGATGGTTGTCTGCGTACCACATAGTTCATTCGGTACCAAAAACCTATCACTTGTTTACATTCCATTGATATATTAAGTAGACGGCAATAACAGTCTATGAAATCATAAACTAGTTTTGAATCCCGTGATGTTCTTTCCGAGGTCATTAAAACAACTACAGTATGAATTATAAGCGGAGATGAATGACGATAATACCAATACAAAAATGAATAACAACATGAATTGCTTAGTTTTTCGGTACCGTCGTGTTATAATTTTCGTCTCGTTAATTTTCTGTTGTGCTGATGTAAAATGTAGCAGTGTGAACGGACGTACATATGCTGTTAGTGACTAACTGATCAGTTACATGAATTACATAAGATGGATTCATCGATATGACAACTGTTTCCTTGTCTACACGAATGGGGCGTTATTTTGTCTTAGACGAATATTATCTACACTACATTCCCTCCCAGTGTCTGTTCTACAGGAATTCAACACAACTCAGATCAAGAACACGTGATTAGCCCGACTAGAATGTAAATATATTTCCACACCAAAAAAACCGACAAGAAGCCGACACAATCTAACAAAAATCCGAGTAATAATAAGGTTAAGGGAAAATACAACTCATCTAGTACCTGTCAGACTACTAGTCTCACTAAGCAAACAACTTATCATTGTCAATCTCGCCCACACATTAACAACAATTTCAAAAAACCACACTTCTGGTGGTTAAAGAAACAATTAGTAGGGTAAATATCTTAGATCAGCGTCTCTCATCATTGCATTTCACTGTCTTTCTGAGCTCTCGAAAAACGCCATGGTTCAAACTAACACAGTTCAAGTCTATATTATTTAAAGTAGGACAATTTTATTGATATTACGAACCTATTTAAGTTAGGCAGTCAGTGTAAACATGAGATCACTGGATGGCCGTTTTGTTCTAGTACGGGACCCCTCAGCAGTGCACACAGACGACTCCGCGACTGGTAATCAAACCCTGGACATCCAGTCTCACGCTCAAACACTTAATCTCTAGACCACTGAGCCGGGAGCCAATAGTGTGCAAATTTAACTTCAAGGCTAAAATGATTGATTAATAATCGGATTGTGGTTTATTATTTTTTCATATTCATAACAATCAATATTTCGCTTTCAACTTTAGATTCTCGTCAAATTCCTCGCATTCAACGAGGCGGTGGTGAAAGTATTCGCAATAGTGGAAGTAATCATACAGGTGTTTCTAAGTCTTCGGCCAACCATGTTAACTCCAAAAACCCTAATCAGCAAAGAAATCAACCGAATCATCGTTCGGATTCCATGGGACCTAGAGGACAAAATATGTGTGCCCCAATTGTTAGCTGAATAAATTTTCCAGTTGGAGTTCAATGAACATTTTCAGTAGACCACTCAGTTTTAAGTGCTTACCCTTACCTCCGCTTTGACTATCCAAATATCCCATTTTATTGTACCTTTATTCAATTCGGCTGTCATTTCCTCTATACACACTCACACTGTGTAAATCAGATTGGATAACTGGAAACTTGTTTAAGGGTGATTTTTAAATAATCTTTCTTATTTTTAGTGCATATTACTAAATATTCTTTGCTTTTTTCTTCCTGGTGATATTCACGTATTGTTTCAACCAGTTGTAATCTTGAACCATGTTCTGTATATTGTTTCTGTTAGTTTCTGGATTCACCAACTAATAAAAACAAAGTATTATCATACTTGGTAATTATCCATTTTTAGTAAACATCTTTGCTTTCACCCGTATCTGAACTTATGGCATTACCTCAACCTAATACCTCAGATTTATGTACAAAGCATGAACTATATGAAGGGTTATCCTACTATACTTGGTTTGTATTATAGTTTTTATTTAGTGCGTTTATTATTCATTTCATGTTGACTTGTTTATCGTAAAAAGTAGACCACAATAAGAATTAATATAGTGTGAGTTGTCAATATTCTGTCGCTTAAGATTTATCACCATATAATTTGAATTTGAATCACTTTACTGTAGTACACGGCACTCAGTACAATGTTTTATAGCAATCAGTTTTAAAGCAAATGGTTCGTTTAATAAATGCACTGAATCTATTCAGTCTAGCTTGATGTTCTGATTATCGATAGTCTTATCGTTATTACCATTATGTCATTCATGTATTTTAAGGGGAATTTCATTAAATCCGTTAATTAGGTATTTGTCGTTGTTGGTGAACATCATTTAAAAAGAAACGGCTGCTAAAATACTAATTAACTAGTAGTTTATTAGAGATTTATTAATGTGACTGGTGCAGTTTTTACGATCCAAACTTCCATAATTAAGTCCCAACTTAGGTTCAGAAACATCAAATCAGAGGAACTGAGACATTTGTTTCGTCAACCAGATTTTGTTAGGTTACAAACATGGACATATGTACCACTTTGACCGTGAAAGTGGAACTTGATTTCATTCATTGGAGGGTTTTGTATGATTATTTCACTGGGATTGCTAATATGTGCTGCTACAGGCACCATTAATGCACTCATTTTTGTAAACTTGTTTCAGACAACTATTAGTTGTGTCGTCCATTGGTATTTACTTTACTATCGATATGCTTCTATTGGCAAAATGCTGTTTGACTTGTTCTGTAATCTGCCACTTTTAATGATTTCGCATAGTAATTAACACGGTATGAGGTTCTGAGCAAAGGAAATCAGGATTTTCTGTGTGTAAACTAATATGCGGTTTTGTGTCATATCTGAAAGGTCGGTTTCTGCTTTAAACTCTGTGTTTGAGAATCTGTGGTACAACGTGACTCCAGTTTATATGTAATGTGTCGATCGAATGTCCAATTTTGTCGCAGCATAATTTCGTTTCCAGGTCGTATTATCATATTGTAGTAACATTCTTTGGCCAAAGGAAAAGCCTTTGTTTGTCCGTTATATTAGTAATTCTATGCAGTCTTGTTAGAATAAATAACTGTAGAATGCAATTTATCTGGTGAAAATTCCCATTTAGACGACGAATAGAGCGAAAAATTTTCCATTCGTTTTTCATCATGTATATTAATATCATGCTAGTAGCGATTTAACACAATGATTATATAAGTGTTTATAAAATGACATTAAGTAATTAAGTAGTTGAGAGAAATGGTTATGGTAATCAAAGTAATTATTCGAAAAATTCGATTAAGGTTGCGACATTACTTAGTACGTGAGGAAAGCTCAGTTGTAGTAATATTAAGAATCAAGAAACTGCTATTGAAAGTATCTCCTATGGAGTGGTATTAAAATGTTGGGTGACTGACTGTTTCTTTAAGCGACCCATTGTACAAATCTGGAAGTCCATCATCTCATAGTGGAACACCATCCATCTTGGTTTAACAAAGGACAGGTGGGAGTGACTAAGAGTTCAACTCTCAAATGGTAAACAAAAAAGCTCGTGTTGATTTGAATAAAGCTTTAAAAGTTTCCAACATATCCCATCAAATTTACCACCTTGTTTGCAAGTTTGTCTTGTACATATTACTGAATCTATCGGAATCCATATTCACAAACCTAGCTTTTTCATTCAAAAGAAATTTGTACAACCATTATCGCTATCTTGGTCGTCCGTATAAGAGCGAGCTTTAGTGAAATTTTAATTAAACCAATTTTCTAATTTATTTCACTTTTGTATTTCTGCATATTTTCAACGTATGATGAATTCACTGTAGATACTTTCATTGTTTATTATTTTCTTGATCTTGACTTCCAGTATTCCCTCATATATTTAATTCTCTTGCATAGTAATATTTTTAGATTTTGATAAAAGAATTGTCAGTAAAGAAATCTTATGAATAAATAAATGAATATACGATATTTACATTGTACTTTAATAAGTTGTCATATTCTCGTAAAAGCGCCTGCTGCTTGGCATTAAGTTTAGTAACACTAATCTGTTTAACCTTATGGAGCGTAGATTTCTAATCAGCGATCTCCAAACTGTCATGCGATCCCTTTTTCAGTTTCTCCAGTCGCTACTCCTGATTTCTTCCTCCAGTTCCCTGCTCAATGTGTCCCCTCGTCGTCCTCTTTTACCTTCAGCATTACCGTAATGTGCTTCCCATCCACCTGTAATATCTTTCTTTGGATCAAATAAGTGTAGTTTCTTACAAATATATCACTTACTAATCTACCTAAATACAACTCATACGTAATGTGACTTATTAACTCATACTATGACTTAAAATAACTTTACACTTTCTAAATATAATCGAATAGTTGTAAATACCGGTGACCTACATCTAATTTTTGTATATGGACACATTTGCTTCACAAAACACTGACAATGTGATGTCTAACTAATTTGTTAAATCATATCAGGAAATTTCATCTAAATTATAAACTCCACGTCATGTCATACATTGAATTAACTGTATCCAAGGTGTCCACTGTATTCCTTTCTCCCCTGAGATGTAGAGGTCTATATAATTCAGTTAGTCACCAGAAGAAAGAGAAAGGGCGAGAATAAGCAACGCTGTCTGACACCGGTCTTCACTTGGAATGCATCTGAGGTGCCCTTCATGGAGGACATCACAATACAGCTCAACGTATATATTCCGTAGAATTTTGACGCTATTAGTTGCACCATAGTGCCGAAGGAGGATCAGTAGGGTCGTTCTACCCACATTTGTTGGTTGCTTTCTCATTGTCAAAGAAGCTGATGTATAATGAAGAGTTCCATTCAATTGACTGCTGAACAATAGTCCGAATTGCTGCAGTTACCTCTCTACCTGGCTTTAGTACTTCAGCTGGTGATGCTGCTTCCCTAATTTTGATTTATCTGATGGCCATGCTGATTTCGCCAATCCTCGGTGGAGCGACATCTATAGGAGGGTCTATGTATGCTCCTTCGACGTCTGGTGGGTTCATTGAGGCCGGTTCATTCAAGAGTTCTTCAAATTGCTCTACCTACCTCTTCCACAGTTCTTGAATTTCAGTGTTTGACCTGCCTTCTTTTTTTCAAATAATCACTCTGGTTTACTATGTTTCTCTGCTAGTTTCTTCGCTGTATGATGCTTTTGTTTCATATTTTCTCCCCTTGTAGCTTCTTCTGCTGTCATTGCTAGGTCTTCGGCGTATTTCTGCTTGTCAGCTCTAATGTCCCTCCTCATTTTCTAATTTCCTTTTGTGTATTCGGCCTGTGCCTTGACTGCTGTTGATTACTATTTCCTTGTTCTGCCCTTCATTAATCTTGGTCAATAGAAATCCTCCCTTTATGCTGGTGCTTGTTGTGACCAAGGCTCTCCTGACATGTTGAAGTTATTGCTTCTTTTGTACATTTCCAGTTCTCGTTCATAGTGGTTTTCTCTTCTTGGAGTAGATCGTATAATGCTTGGAACCTGTTGCTGAGAGCTATATTGAATTTCTTGAATTAGTCAGTATCTCGAAGGAATACTGTATTAAACTTTTGTAACGTTAATTCTATTGTTATCCAGTGCTTCCTTAGCTTTAGTTTCACCTTGGTCTCCACCAAGTGGTGATCTGAAGCTAAACCACCTCCTCTCTTCGTTCTTACGTCTTCCATGGACCTTTCGAATTTTTCATTGATGCAAATGTGATCGATTTGGTTGTTTGTAGTGTGGTTTTATGTATACGTTTTTTGAAGGTATACAAATTTACGGTCTTTCTTCATTCTCATTCTTTTCTTCCAGTCCATGTCGTCTCATGATGTCGTTATACCCAGTGTCGTCATGATTCTAATTTACTTGTTTTGATTAACTGATAAATTTACTCAATTATTTTCATTAGTCTATACGATTAGTATTACCTTACTCTAAATAACAAATGACATGTTATTCTTATTTACTTTTGTTATATTTTATAAAAGTTCACTTGAAAAGGAATATTTCAACATAATTATTTAATGAAAACAATGTAACAGTCTTTTTGTTTTATAAATAATTCTTTGAATTCCATATTGTTAATTATCAAGAATATACATATATATTAGATCAAAACATTAATCTAAAAATGAAATAGATAAGTAACAATACTCTACTGAAAAGATGCTTGTAGTGTGGTGTCGAGTCGCGGTTGACTATGATCACCACTACAGGAAGACTACGTGCCAGTTAACCGATAAGATCCCCCGTAAGCCAAATATCAGTAGGCAGTTGATGGCTGTAGTCGAGATGTATTCGTTGGCGATCTCGTGGTATCGAAAGAATACTGAGATCGTGCCAAAGGAGTACAAGTGTGGTTACTAAGCGTAACCGAATTCGTGCAAGTTCACAATCAAAGGAAGGAAGAATGTCTTTAGTACAATCAAACAAACAAGTATAGTAAAACAATCACCGGTATAATTGGTTATAATAATAATTGTTTCCATTAAACCAATTGCGTTCTCTTGATAAAAGTAGGTCACTACATGCTCAAACTTTCAATCAGGCATTGGCAATCCACGAACTCAAGCCTGAACTTTGCATACAGAAATGATTAGCCCAACCTCTCATCCTTCCTTGACCCTAATTCCCTTTATTGGTATGTTTCGAGTTTTTTTCCTTTCTTCTTCACTTTTATTTGATTATTGTTGATTTTTTAAAATTATTGTTTCGCAATTTTAAACTCTAATTAGTTATTATTATTATTTTATACAAGTTTTTTTTAACAGTTCAGATCATGAGTTAATAAGATTCGAATCCAGGAGTCCCACAATAGGACGAAACGGCCGTCCAATGCTTCCAGGTTTTCCATGGTGGTCTAGCTGCAATTGACCCATGATCTCAACTATTAAAATTACAATAATATCCACAAAACCTCTTATACAAGTTTGCTTGATTATTATTCAGTTTATGTTATTATGACCTATATGTTTGTCGTTTTTCTGTCAATTGAACAATTATCTGACCTGTAAATTATTTTCATCCCTATATTCCTTCCTTACCACTTGATTATTACATAACCTCATCTGATATTGAGTCTCGAATCAATTTATGATGCATTCTTTTCTATCCTTCTATAGACATATATTTACCATATAACTATAAACACGAATGTACAGCTTGAGTAAATGATTTTGTCGAAAAGAAAATTTCACTGGTTGAAATCATGAGACAACTGAAGCTAGAACACCATGGAAAACCTGGAAGCACTGGACG